CTCTCAAGTAGCTGGGACTATGGGCATGTGCCACCATGCCCAGGTAATATTTCTATTTTCTGTAAAGATGGAGTCTAGCCTCTTGCTCATGCTGGTTTTGAACTCCTTGGCCTCAAGCAATCTTCCAGCCTCAGCCTCCCAAAGTGCTATGATTACAGGCATGAGCCACTGCCCGGCTTCATTGTGGTTTTAATTTGCATTTCTCTGATAATTAGTGAGGTTGAGTATTTTTTCATGTTTGTTGGCCATTTGTATATCTTCTTTTGAAAAATGCCTGTTCCTGTCATTTGCCCACTTTTTAAGGAGGTTGTATGTTTTTTTCTTGCTGAGATGTTTGAATTCGTTGAAAATTGTGGGTATTCCCTTTGTCAGACACACGGTTTGTGAATATAAAATTAAGAATTTTAGGCCCAGCGCGGTGGCTCATATCTGTAATCCTAGCACTCTGGAAGGCCAGGACAGGAGGATCACTTGAGCCCAGGAGTCTGAGGTTGCTGTGAGATAGGCTAACGCCATGGCACTCTACTCAGGGCAACAGACTGAGACTCTGCCTCAAAAAAAAGAAATTAAAAAAAAAAAAAGAATTTTAAGCAAGAGAGCCTATATTTACCTTACGAAAAATAAGAAGCAATAACATTGTTAGGCATGGGTGGAAAAATGGCCTATTCATCTAGAATACTGACCATCTACTGTTACATCAGATGTGTTTAAAGAAGGGGCCTAACAGCTTAGGAAAGCTAAGAAAGCTGATGTTTTCCTACAGCCATCTTAAATACAAAGTGGTAAACATTGGGCAATAGAGAATCTACTTCTGCACATTTCTGCTTTTGAGTTGACTCTAATTAACTATATTCCTAGACATCATCTAAGCGCTGTTCATATTTGAGCACTTCATACACAATTTTTACAACGTTTAACCAGAATATGCTAATTTTCCTAATCTGAGAGTCAGGTAGGGCAGTCATATAAAAGCATCACAAGGGAGCCCTGTGCACATACTAGAAGTAAAAACTGAGCCAAGGTTTGGACAAGGGTTGACTTTCTGCCCATCCACGCTTACTCAAAAGCAAATACTGTATCTGTAGGGGATTGGTTCCAGCACCACCACCACCCACCCACCTCAACACCTCACACCCTCTAACCCCTCCACGATGTGGATACCATAATACATGATGCTCAAATCCTTTGCATTTGCATACAATCTATGCACATCCTCCTTCATACTTTAAATCATCTCTAGATTACTTATAATACCTAGTACAACGTAAATGCTATGTAAACAGTTGCTATACTGTATTGTTTAGGGAATAACGACGAGAAGAAAAAAGTCCGTACGTGCTCAATACAGACAAAACGAACCTTCCTCCCCCAACCTCCGCCAAATATTGTCAATCCCCGGTTGGTTGAATCTGCAGATGCAGAAGCCACACATATGGAGGGCCGACAGTATGACTTAAGTCTGCAAAGATCCATAAGAGCCATATTTTTCCTAGGTTGGCTAACATATGCTCCCCACTGTCTTGCATATGCATATTGAATTAATGACTAGTGATAAGTTTCAGAAGGGTTTAGATAAAGTAATGGCTAACAGTCATAGTAGTCTGTGAAAGATAATTGAGTATTTGAAGGTATATCCTACTGTTTTACAAATGAAAATGCTGGGGCTCAGGAAACAAAATCCAAAAGTATGGCATTTTGGCATGCTGAGCATTTTGAACTAAAGGAAATCAAAAGGTCTTAGAACCTGCTTCAGAAGATCCTCTAAAAGGAACAAATTCACCTTCCACCCTCTCCCCAAAATCTCAATAATCAGGAAAGAGTAAATGTATTTGGAAGGAAGGAAGGCTGAGGAATTACACCACACCCAGACAGACTTTGTCACAGGCTACTATCTCAAGTCCCATTTCCGAACAGAATCATTTACATACCATTGTCTGGTCTTTGGGTCCATAAAACTCTCCTAAAAATAGCCCTCTAAATTGACTACCTGCCCCTATCTATCTATCTCTCCCCTATGAAGGGGGTGCTTCAGCCATCTGGCCTTTCCTTGAGTCTTATATTTTGTGTGGTTCTCATGCCCATTCGTATGTTTTTTTCTCCTGTTACTCTATTGTCAGTTTATTTCACAGAGAGAAGGGGAAATTCCCTTCACTCCTACAAAAACTAAAACTGAACTATCAAACTATTTATATGGCATATATTCTTCTATAAAATTTGGGAAGTGATGAAGTATAGCTCTTAGGTCATGGACTTTGAATTTGAATTCGGACTTAATTGGTTTTGAATTCTAGCTCCACCTCCTACAAGCATTCTAGCTTGTAGAATTCTAGCTCCACCTCCTACCACCTGTAAAATAAATAAAGTAACTTCTACATTAGATGGGATAATGTTAATATAAACCTCTGACTATATTGAGAGCTCAATCAATAGAACATAGCTTGTTTTCCCACAGTGCCTCCAATTCTTGAAACAGTACTCATAGGGATACTACAATAGTATACAACTAAATCAAAGAAAATTCTAGCCAAAAAAATGTATTTAAGCCTCTCAAAATACAATCTGGGCATAAGGAGGAATAAAGACCTTTAAATTATTCAGAGATACACACAACTTTTAAACTATTAAATGTAGTAACCTCTAATTATACCAAAACAGTAGGCAGTTAAACAACCTGAGTACCACCAAAGGAATGTGCTCAATCCAGTCAACATCCCTAATTCCAAAGACTCAACCTTGTTGTTAAAGATACAGCTTCCTCTTTGCCTTCAATTGTCAACAAACAATATAATGAAGCAAAATATAGTCTCTCAATAAGAAAAAGTTACATTTACAAAATTCTTTTCTCTGATCACAACCTAGAAATATTTCTCTCGGTAGGAAAAAAACACTGCCAAATTTTAAGTCCTTTCTCCATGCCTTTGGGAGGATACTGAAATTACAAAAAACACCGCAGGGCACTGAAAAATATCAACTACACATCTCAAAATTCAAAGGAGAAAGAATATTTCTAATTTCATGACATACCAGCAAGATTCTTCTGCCTCTGGAAAACAAAGCCAAGTTTTTAAAAATAAGAAAAATATTAATAAAACCCATATCCTAGATACCTAATAATATAATTAAATGATTAGAATGGAAAACCAAAGTTCATCATAAGGGACTTATCAAAGATTAAATAATTTTTATCTTAAAATGATAAAGAATTACAAAGTTAATGTGTTTGTTCCTCAGTAACTCTTATGCTATTAAGGCCAAATTCTGTACTTGAGACATCCTGACTTCCATTAAATGTGAGGTAATACATGTTTTCTAATAAATCTTTTAAGAAGCAACAATATTACCCAAAAGAACAAAAAGAGAAAAAAAGAAAAAAATTCTGGCTGGAATACAAACATATACATTCATGGAGCTTCAATTAAGTTTGGTAAATGCATTTATTAAAGATACAAATTCAAATTCTGTTGGTCCAGAGCCTCCAACAACAAAAAAATCACATGATAGGAGCCCACCCATCTACTGGAGAGAGATGATACTTAGGTCATGCCAAACACTTGAATTGAAGTGAAACAAGCCAAAATACAGTCCTTAGGACACCGCGCTGAGCTGTGCTGCTCCCATGCCTCTTCCTCATTTAGGACATTTTATTTTTGGTCACCCCAAGGAGGCATATGCAGGAGGCAAAACAGGACCAACAGACCAATATTATTCAATGAAAAACACTTATTAAAATTACAAATGCACTTAGCCTTAACTCAGTATTTCCACTGAAAGGGAGTTATCCTATAGATACACAGACATGAAATAACTTTTGTTCAACTTCATCACATCATTGTTTCTAATATCAAAAAAAATGGACAGTTAAAGTTTTTTCATCAACTAGGAACAGTTAATTAGGGAAAATTCAAATAATACAATTATTCTGCAGCTATAAAAAAAGTCAATGAAGGCTGGTCTCAGTGGCTCATGCCTGTAATCCTAGCACTCTGGGAAGCCAAGACAGGAGGATAGCTTGAGCTCAGGAATTCAAGATCAGCCTGAGCAAGAGCAAGACCCCACCTCACTAAAAATAGAAAAAATTAGCTGGGCATGGTGGCATGTGCCTGTAGTCCCAGCTACCCGGGAGGCTGAGGCAGGAGGATCACGTGAGCCGAGGAGTTTGAGGTTGCTTTGAGCCAGGCTGATGCCACAGCACTCTAGCCCAGGCAACAGAGTGAGCCTCCAAAAACAACAAAAAAAAAAGTCAATGAAGAAGCTTTCTGAATACTGACATTATGAAGTAAAAAACAGCAAGGTTCAGACTAAGAGAAGAAGTATATCTACACATGTTTTTATTTGTATAAAATATAGCTGTAAGAATACATAAGAAACTAGAATTCCTGGTTGCCTCAAGGTAGAGGGTATGAGGGACAAGGGTGGCAGGGAGTTTTTGTTTTTTGTTTTTAAGAGATGGTGTCTCACTATGTGTTTCCCAGGCTGGTCTCAAACTCCTGAGCCCAAGTGATACTCTGACCTCAGCCTCCTAAGTAGCTGGGGCTATAGGTACGAGACACCACACCCAGCCTCAGGAGGGAGAGTTTTTTTACCCTTTTTTGTACCTCTTGAATTTTGTACCATGTTAATGTCTTAACTATTGATATATTGTCAATGGTTGCTAGTTTTTTAAAAAAAAAACCTTTCACAAGCCTCAGTTTACTCTTCTGTTAAAATGGAAAAATAATACCTATTTAATAGAGTTACCATGAAGAAAAATGAGATCTTGCATATAAAGTGATTTGCACAATTTCTGACCCACTTTGCCAGTCATTTAGAGCATCTTTGATTCACCACTTGCCCCTCATTCCCAGCCTCATATGGTGTTGTACACATACTGTCTCTCAGCTGCTGCTTGTGAAATAAATAGATGAGACCTTAATAAAACTATGCAAGTATCTCTGGATTTCACATAAGCTAACATGTTGGGAAGTACTATGTTTTAGGGATTTAACCACCTTCATACTTACAGGGATGCTCCAGACCTGCATTCCATCACTGTACCCAATCATAATCAGCAAAGGCGGTTCATTCCCAGTGCTATGTATTTCATGAAATTCCAGATTTCTTGATGTATCTGCATTAGAATTAAGTAACAAAGAAGCCAATTTAAAAGAGACAATGTCAATCAAGAAACAACTATACTTCTTTAATGCCTGATTCAATCTTTATGGCTCTCCAGTGACTACTTTCCTTCTCTTCACAGCCGAAGTCTCAAAGGTATCTGTCCTATTTCCTTACATACCTGTCACTCCTTAACCCATTTCAACATAGCTTCCAGCCATACCACTTAAATAATATCAAACATTTAAAGAAAAAATTAATATTAGTTCTACACAAACTTGTCTAAAAAAGAGAAGAGAAGGGAACATGTACCACTTGTTCTGAGGCCACCAAAACCAGACTAAGATACTAGAAGAATAAATAATAAATCAATACCCTTCATGAATGGAGACATAAAAATCCTTTTAAGAGATTAGCAAACTGAATTCCACAATATATAGAAAGGCTAATCAATCACTAAGAAATGGGGTTTATCTAAGAAATGTAAGTCAAGGTTTAACATTGGAAAAATCAATCAATTATAATTTACCGCAGTGACAGAATAAAGGAGAGAAATCATATGATTACCTCATTAGATGCGAGAAAAAAAAAAAGCACTTGCTAAAATTCAAAAGCTATTTCATAATAAAAACTCTCAGCAAACCAGGAATTAAGGACATCTATGAAAATACTGTAGCTAACATCACACTTTATGGTACAAGACTGAATGCTTTCCCCCAAGAGGGGAGAAGGAGGCGAAGATGTCCAAACTTAAAACTTATATTCAGCATTGTACTAGAGGTCCTATATAGTGCAATTAGGAAAGAAAAATAAATAAAAGAATAAAGGCTGGAAAGGGAGAAGCACAGCTAATCCCTTAACAATGCAGGGATTAGAAGCACCAACCCCTGTGCAGTTGAAAATCCATATATTACTTTTGACTCCGGCAAAAACTTAACTACCAATAGCCTACTGTTGACATAAACAGTCAATTAACACATATTTTGTATGTTATATATATTATACACTGTATTCTTACAATAAAGTAGGCTAGAGAAAAGAAAATATTAAGAAAATCATGAGGGAGAGAAGATATATTATTTATTAAATGGAAGTGGATCATCATAAAGGTCTTCATTCTTAGCATCTTCACATTGAGTAGGCTAAGGAGGAGGAAGTGGAGGGGTTGTTCTTGCTGTCGCAGGGGTGGTAGAAGCAGAAGAGATGGAGGTAGAAGGGGAGGCAGGACAGGCAGGAACATTTGGTGTAACTTTAACAAAATACATTGTAATTTCTGCCTGACTTTTTTGCTTTTTCATTTCTCTAAAAATGTTTCTATACGGTACCAATCCTTCTTCCACCATTTGCTTTAGTTTCAGTGCCCATAGGAAGATCTACATTGTAAAAGAAGTCAAAAGCAGTCCTGAATAATCAGAACCCACCTGCCAGACTGACTAATGTCAATCTGTTTTCTGGTACTTCTTCTATGCCTTCTTCCTCATCATTTGGCACTAGTTCATAAGCACTGACCTCCATCAGGTTGTATTCTGTTAATTTTTGTGGTATGGTATTTATTAGCTCCTGAATTTCTCCAAGATCCGTATCTTGAAACACTTCACCTCCCACTTTTTTTTTTTTTGCCATATCCACAATCTCTTTCACGACTTCCTTGATTGGCTCTGTCATAAATTCTGTGAAGTCATGCACAACATCTGGACACAGTTTTCTCCTGCAAGAATTTATTGTTTTGGGGTTGATGACTTTCATTGGTTAATTCTACAATATTGATGGTATCTTCAATGGTGTAATCCTTCCAGACTTTTATGATGTTCTACCAGAGTTCTCTTCCGAAGCATTGACAATCCTTTCCATAGAGTACCGTTATATAATGAGCCTTAAAGTTCCTTATGACTCCCTGATCTAGAAGCTGAATTACAGATGTTGAGTTTGGACACCTTCAGTGTTGAACTCATGGGGTTCTCGGTGGCCAGAGCACTGTGCAATATTAAAAGAATTTAATACCTTACTGACAAGGTACTTTCTTACTTGAGGGACAAAGCATTTATGGAACCAATACATAAATAGGGTTATCATATCAGGGTTGCCTAGACCTTCTTGTTGTACAACCAAAAGATTGGCAGCTGGTATTTATCTTTTCCCTTCACAGATGGGGGGTTAGCAGCATTATAGATAAGGGTGGTCCTGATCATAAACCTGACTGCATTTGCACAAAGCAATTGCGGTAGCATATCCCTTCCTGCTTTGAATCCTGGTGCTCGCCTCTCTTCTTTACTAATAAATGTTCTTTGTAGCATTTTTTTTTCCTAGTATAGGGAGCTTTCATCTGCATTAAAACCCGTTCTCCTCAATGATTTTCTTAATGGCATCTGGAAACATGTCTGCTGCCTCTTGGTTGGTAGAAGATACTTCTCCTGTTATTTTGACATTTTTTAAGCCAAACCTTTTTCTAGAATTATCAAACCATCCTTTTCTGGCATTAAGTTCTCCAGGTTTAGATCCTTTATCTTTTTTTTGCTGTAAGTTGTCATATAATGACTTTGCTTTTTCTCGAATCATATTAGAATCTATAGGTATGCTTTTCTCATAGCAACCCTGCACTCACATAAAGGCTGCATTTTCAAAAAAAGTGCAAGGTTTTCATGCCTGCTGGTGTAGCTGCAGTGACAGCTTCAAGAATTTTTTTCTTTTTTAACAGTGGTCCTTATGCTGGATTCATTTATTTGAAAATAGCAGGCAACTGCAGCTACAGACCCCAATCTACAATACATATCAAGCAATTCAACTTTTTCTAATGTCATGACTTTTCTCTGTTTCTTGGGAGTACTTCCAGCATCACTAGTGGAGCTTTGTATGGGTCCCACGATGTTATTCAAGGTTCATGGGATGGCACTAAACACAATAAAAAATACTCAAGGACCTCAAGAGATCACTTTTTACTGTGATATGCAATCTACTGGAAAGACAAACTGCTCACACAGATATGAATAGCATCACACAACATTTTAAGTGTATACTTGCAACACGAGCTCACTGAAATAGCAACAGGAAGTGGATATGAAATTATTATAGTAGTGCAATATGTCCTACAGATAATTTTATGCAGCTCTAATTTAATACTGCATTTTTACATTTCTTTATATTTCTCTAGACTGCAAATGGTGCCACATACAATCTTTGTTTACATGCATGTTTTGATATTTTAACTGTTTATATTAGGTTTGTATATATTTTATAGCAGTGATAAAATAGACTAGTATCTACACATATTTTATGCATTCATGACACACCTAACTTTTTCTTAATTTTTTGGTATTTGTAGGCTGTGTGGTTCATCATGAGGTTTTCTAAAGTGGCACAAATCTCCAGAAGAGTTTCCAATATATTTATTCTAAAAAAATCCGTGTTTAGGGGGCTGGGGACAGTGGCTCATGCCTGTAACCCAAGCACATTGGGAGGACAAAGCAGGAGTATCGCTTGAGCTCAGGAATTGGAGACCAACCTGGGCAACATAGTGAGACCTTATCTCAACAAAAACTTAAAAAAAAAAATTAGCCAGGTATGGTGGTGCACACCTGTAGTCCCAGCTACTCAGGAGACTGAGGTGGGAAGATCACTTGAGCCTACGAATTTGAGGCTACAGTGAGATACAATTGCACTACTGCACTCCAGTCTGGGTGACAGAGCAAGACTGTCTTAAAAAATAAAATCCACATATAAAAGAACCCACACAGTTCAAATCCATGTTGTTCAAATATCAACAGTATTCTAGTTTTTAGGTGTTGGTTACATAGGCATTGGGTTTATAAAAAATGCATTCTATACTTTCATGTTATTTACCAAATTTTATACACTAAATACTTCAAAAAATTATAAATCAAAGCAATCACTATCCCTCTCCCTTTACTACACTTCATCACTGTCCTCTCTTTCTAGAAGCTAAAATTTTTTTTTTTTTTTTTTTTGAGACAGAATCTCACTTTGTTGCCCAGGCTAAAATGAATGCCGTGGCATCAGCCTAGCTCACAGCAACCTCAAACTCCTGGGCTCAAGTGATCCTCCAGCCTCAGCCTCCCGAGTAGCTGGGACTACAGGCATGCACCACCATGTCTGGTTAATTTATATATATTTTTTTAGTTGTCCAGCTAATTTCTTTCTATTTTTTCAGTAGAGACGGGGTCTCACTCTTGCTCAGGCTGGTCTTGAACTCCTGAGCTCAAACGATCCACCAGCCTTGGCCTCCCAGAGTGCTAGGATTACAGGCGTGAGCCACTGCGCCCAGTCTAGAAGCTAAATTTCTTAATTCAGCTATTTACAACTGTCATCTCTATTTTTCATCTCACATTCACCCCGAACCCATTTCATAATACCCCTAACACTCCTCCCGGGTGACTTCTGCTATGGCCACAAATATTCTCCAAATTGTTAAATCCAATAGATATTTCTCAAGTACATCTTATTAGATTACTCAGCAACAATAACCAATGATCACCATTTCTTCCTTAAAATACTTTCCCTTGGTTTTTCAGGGATAATCTCCTAATTTTTCCCTACTCTCTCTAGTCACTCCTTCACCATTTTCTCTGCTGGCTCATCCTTTTCTGCCTAGTCTGTAAATACTGGAGTTACTCAAAACTAATTTCTAAACTCTCTTTTCTTCTCACCTACCCTAGGTGATCTCATTCCATTGCTTCAATTTGTGCCAGTGACTTCCTCAATGTGGGGTTTGAATGTTTCAATTGTAGTATAAATTTCAAAGATCATGATTTCCTTTTTTTAATTCAGGATATTATGGGGGTACAAACATTTTGGTTACATATAATATGCATTTGCCTCGCCCAAGCCAGGGCTACACCATGTCCTTCCCCCAAGTACAGTGCGCTTGGCTTCCATTAGTTGTGGGTTTACCAGCTTCCCTACCTGACCAGCACCCAGTGAACGTTAGTACCATGCGAACACCTTAAGTGTTGATCAGTTAGTACCAATTTGATGGCGAGTACATGTGGTACATGTTTT